GTTGTGCCCCACGATATTTATCATTTTCTTTTTCCACGTGACAGGTTTGGCAAGGAGAGACCTTCACTGACCCCCACTCCCCGGCACGGCGGGAAGGGTGCCCTGCTCCCCAGGGTGGCACACCGACTCCGTCAGCAGGGTCTGCTCCCTTCCAGATGTCATCAGCTCCAGCACAGCCTGCCTGGGGCCCCCAGCCCTGCCCAAGCCTCCAGTGCATTTCGGATCAAGCCTACGGACAGCAAATTTGTCCTGCCCTGACTTCCAGAAAAATATATGGCAAAAATAGCCCAGCTTCAGGGTGCAGCTGTAGCATTTGAGCCCACAAACTTACCCACAGACACTTCTTCCTAACCAGGCAGCGTGACGTTAAAACTGAGGACATTTAGATCAGGTCCCCAGGCTGCTTTATAAACATACACCAGTGCGATTCCCTTCATGAGAAATGGGTTATATATAAACTACCAGAGAGGAGATTTGCAGATGCCTGCAGCAAAGAGCCAGGCACATTCCCCCACCAGGAGAGCGGGCAGGACCCCGGGGTGAGCAAAGCACAGCCGAGACTGCGTCCTCCCCCAGGAAGCATTTAGAAGCGGCAGGCTCCTTCACACACGATCATCTTCTCTCCAGGGACCTTCCTCACCCCCTTCTTGCTTCAGATACAAACCCAGAGTCTTGCAGAGCTTTTCAGGCAGCTGATCAGCACAAAGCAGGAGGAGGCGTGGGCAAGGAGCCCCGTGCGCAGGGGAGCTCCCAGGTTCTCAGCAGCACCTGGCTCCGCAGTGCTGGTCAGCATTACGCCTGCGTATCTGCCAGGAGGAGAGCTCAGACCTTGAAGCTGTGAAAAATAGAATTAAAGTCAGTGAAAGAAAGCCAGAGTGGCTGCAGAGCTGTGATTAGAAGTAGCGGCTGCAGCATTTCCCCCTGCAAAGAAGAGGCACTTTCTGCCTCTCCCCTGTAGCACTGCTGACTCACAAATCACAGGACACTGCCACCTCAATCCTCGTCCCATCTGGCGTGCTGGCCTCTCTCCTGCCTTGGGACCTCCAGCTGCATCCTTTAGTTGGGCACATCCAGTTGCAGCATAGAAGGCCACCATACTGCGTTGCAGCCCACAGAAATGTTTCCCTGCAGCCCTGAGCACCCCAGGAAAGAACCGTACTCCCTTGCTGCAGCCTGGCACGCCTGCTTCCTTGGTCACAAAGCCAGGCAAGCCAAGTGCTTCCCCAAGGGAAAATTTCATCGACAAAATGCTTCCCAGGTTTGGGCACATCCAGTTGCAGCATAGAAGGCCACCATACTGCGTTGCAGCCCACAGAAATGTTTCCCTGCAGCCCTGAGCACCCCAGGAAAGAACCGTACTCCCTTGCTGCAGCCTGGCACGCCTGCTTCCTTGGTCACAAAGCCAGGCAAGCCAAGTGCTTCCCCAAGGGAAAATTTCATCGACAAAATGCTTCCCAGGTGCTTCCACTCTCTGGGACGTGGCTGTTGCAGCCCCTGCTGTGCTGTGCGCCCGCCCTGACTGCAGCCCTTGCTGTGCTGTGACCCTGCCATGCCCGGGCAGCAGCAGCATCCCCAGCCAGCGGGGCCAGGCTCACCCCGGCAGAGCTCTTCCCAGCTGGAGGGAATCAGCCTCAGCACTCAGTCCCTGCAGCTTTTATTACTGCACAACCTCTCCCAGCTGCCTGATGTACTTTCAGCTGGTGACAGTATGTCCCCCATCTATCTCCATCCTCTTCCTGAGAGCCCAGCCAGTTCCAGTCCTTCTGCAGAGGAGGGATCTGGGCTGTGACACCTGATGTTATACCATACGGGGTATACACGTAGCACCCCACCGCTGCCTGCCTCATAGCGTCACCGTCCTGCCCAGCTGCCTGGCCACAGAGTCACCCTGGGTCAAAGAGCCTCCGTGGCTGGGCGTAACCAGTTGCGTCTCTCCACCCAAAATCACGAAACCCAGGGCTGACCCATCACCTCCCGGTGCCTTCCTCACTGGAGCAGCAGTGGGACACGGATGCGATGCTTTGCGAGGGATTCGGGCTGGACCAGACCAACGCATCCCCGGCTGGCTGCATCCTCACGCCTGAGCTGTGCGATGAGTTATGCGGCCGTCTCTTTTTGTGCTGGGAAATCCAGAAAGGAAAAAAATCAACATCTCAAAGCCAGCGGAGGTTGCTAAGTGACAGCAGTGCTTGTTTCTATCTCCCTGCTTACAGCATGCCTACGCTGCAAAGGAAGGAAGTGAGGAGTAAGGGATGTAAACATGAGTATATTGCCAAAACACTCAACAGAAACACAGTTGCCAAACGTATACATTAGCTGAATGTTTTGGCTGCCAGGGGAAGAAATATTTACTACACCTCAATTATTCCAGCCTCAGAGTATTTTACCTGCAGAGGAGGATTTCAGGTATTTGCAACCCTCATGAATTTACCAATTTTCCAGCTGAAATGAATTTCCAGACCAAACCTGTAGGGCTGTCAGTAGCTGCAAGGACAGCTGCAATGAACTGAGATTTCATCCTTACATTGTTTCTAATAGATGGCTTTTGTTTTTCCACCAGGATGTGGTGTTACCCAGCAATGAGGAAGCACAACAGAAAGGCAGAACTGGACAAGGGAGGGAGAACACAGCCTTTGTACGAGCTCCTGGGGAAGAAAGGAGATGGTTTTGGTAAAATAAAGGGCACACACACAAACCTATGTCATTGGAACTATGTCGAACATGGAAAACTAAGTAGACTAAATGCAGCACTGCTGAGCCAGTTGAGAAATTTGCCATTGCTAAGCTGGATGGATAATAGATACCTTCCAAAAAAAGTGCTCATCACAGAGGAGCTTTAGAAACTAACTGCGTGGGGGCAGGCAGACTTCCACCCAGCTCGAGCTCCAGCCTTGTCTCTCCCATTGACCAGCATCCACACGCTGCCCCAAACACGCTACAGCACAGAGCGACCCGGTGGCGAGCAATGTGTGGAGCCCACGCTGCCGTCCGTTATCTGAGGCAGGGAGCAGGCCAGCCCTGCTCTCCAGCGCCTGGGAACCATCAAAAGCACTTATTTAAAAAAAGCATCTGCTCCCTCTGCGTAGAAGCGGGCCAGCCCAGGGAGAAAGTAGGGCACTGATTTGTCCCTCTGTGAAGGGGAATGAAGGAGCATGGGAGAAGGGATCTGAACAGAGCGGTTTCCAAAGCAGAAACTGCTGGAAAATTAAAATATAGCCACAGCTGCCGACCAGAGGGACGTGCTTGCTGTCAGCACTGCTGCCATAGTGCCTCCTAGGCACAAACAGCCCTGTCCTCTGCATCGGAGCGGTGGCGGTTCAGGGGGTGAGAGCCCTTGGGGTACCCTTTTCATGGCTCCTGCAGGGCTGGGGAACTGCAAACCCTCGGGCTCACGCACCCCCTCCCTCAGCTTTCCAATTGAAGGAGGATTTCCCACGGCAGAGGAGAGCTGGGTCCTGCTGAGGAAGAAGAGGCTGATGACCTGCAGCCCACCAACACCCTGGTGGGACAGGGTGTGCGAGCTGCAAAGCTGGTGAGACAGCTCCTGCAGTGATACTAGGATGTTGCCTCCACGCCAACAGTTAGGTCAGATCCCTCCTGGAGCTGCTTCCAGTGTGTTGGTACCACCCTGGGCTGTGGAAAGGTGGCTGGGGAGGGTTTGCTTTGGGAAGCAGCTGCCAGAAAGATGTCCTCGCTCAGGGTGCCAGGGGCAGAAGGGAGCACGGGGTGAGGGTGTGGGATCAGTGGCAAAATACCACGGTGCCTGAGCACATTGTTGCCTTGATGTCTGCAAGCCGGTCGCTTTGGTGTCGTGTCTCAGACTCATTTTGGTACCAGCTGTTGCAGGGGAGAAAGACAAGCCCCCCAAAACGACTTCTGATGAATGTGGGAGCACAAGCAGGTCAGCTGCCCTGCACACAGCAAGGACATGTGGGTCAGCTCTTCGGCTAAACTTCGCAGGGAGGGACCAGGCTTTGAAACACTCAGGAGACAAAACGAGCGGCCCACGCAGGAATGGGGTGCTGTGGGAACACCGCAATGGGTGGTCTCCTGCTGCCCTTTCACCCTGCAGGAAGGCTGACCTGCACCACCTGGGCGAGCACGCTGGTGTGCCCAGGGGCCCGAGCACCGGGCTGGCTCCCTGCTGGCCCAGGGGGGCAGAGGGGAGAAGGGATGGGGGCACAGGGGGTTACAGGTCCCAGTTCACAGCGGCGATGGCTGGAGAGATGCAGAACAGGGGCAGGCACGTGGTAGGGTCCAGTTTGGGGAAGGTGAGCAAGGAGTGGGCAGTGGGGTAGGAGGGGCAGCTGCCAGAGGTGACCGTACCTTTTCCAGGGGTGCTGGGTGCACCAGAAATAAGCCTAGCAAAGCACTGTGGGCCTCGGAGCAGCCCTGAGCATTTTATTTTCACAGCTCTCAGGCCACCCACACACATCCACAACCAGGCTTGGTGCAGGGCTGGAGCTCTGCAGACACCAGTGACCAGGGATGCTGAAGATGCGGGAGGCAGCATCAGAGAGAAGGAGGTGCGCTGGAGGGGAAGGGGATGATCAGAGGGACATTTTTCCCACACAGGAAAGAAATGAGGACAGACCCAAACCCACAGTCCCGCCAGCCCCAGCAGCACCTTCCTCCCCCTCACCACCGTGAATGCAACCCCTGGGCTGCACAGCCCTCCATGGTCCCAGCCCCCTTCCCAGGGAGCCATGCTGTGGGGAGCACCTCCCCGTGCCAGTCCCATCCTTCAGAGAGACCCAGGCCACACTGGACCCCCAAAGGCAGCAGTCCCAGCCATGGGGATC